TGTTTAATTTATTGCTTATACATATATATACTTGCTACCTATTAACTATATTAAACAGGGTTGTTATTCATTTATGGGAACGGGTATAAAATTTTACAATAACATACATACTCACTAAACGAATATTTTTTATTTTATTTTATTAGATCTAACCTATATAAGTTCAATCAGAAGATATATTATATATATAAAATAAAAATGATATAACGTAGGTACTATGTACGTATATTATTTTAAAAGTTATAAAGTTCTGAAATTTACATACAATCTGATTTAATAGGCGTGTAATTAGAGAATGCTTAATGATTGTAGGTATTAACTAAATTACACCACTAAATATTGCAATTATTATTTAACAAAGCACGTTTCATATAATAATATTTCATGTTATAATCCTAATGCTAAAATATATTATTTAAATTAAATGAAATTAATACGAGATTTTAATTTAATGTCAGACATAGACACCTATAGAAGCATACATGGTAAATTAAATGGCTTTAAAAAAGTCAATACAGTTTCTTGCCTGTTTTTCCTAATTGAATCTGTGTAATGAACTGGATGGTAGTGAAAAATATTAATTACTAAAAACATGACGTTCATAAGCGGCTAAAATGTTCTAAATAAATAAATAATTTCTGAATTTGAGTTTAAGTAATAATCACGATATCATAACATAACACAATTGTCAGTTTGTAATTGTTTGTTACTCGTATTTTGAGTAAAATTCAATTGTAAAAAACAAACAAATATTTATATTTATTCAAATGAACTTGAAATCAAATTTTAACCAACTTTGAATCGTACACATTTTTTTATATACAATTTATTCTGAATTAATTTTCTGTAAAAAAGAGAAACTTGCCTGTTGTCCTTTTAAAAAAAATGTTGTTCAAAATTTTTTTTCATAAATAAAAAAAATATGTATTCAACGATTCATAAGAGTTAAAATATATATATGAATATAGTGGTACATCTAAACTTTATGTCTATAATATTAAGTTTACTATTTATGGGAAGCAAAAGCTGGCTGCTGGTATACTAATACTATCTTTTAACATGAAAATAAATAGTTTAGTTAAACTAAAAAAATTCCTCATTCCAATTCAGATTGCGGGGATAGTTCTATAAAATCGGGCCGAGACAGTTGCGACGCGGAACGATGGCCGTTTGTTCTGGGATAAGAAACAAATCTTTTTGTTTTAAAGGAAACTTTTAAGAAAGTAGAGGAAGGAAGGCATTTATTGCGCTAAAAGCCCCGACAGAACTAACTTTAAAATGGATTCAACTTTGTCCGTTGCATTTAACTTTTCCTCGATGACACCGCACTGTAATATTACAAATGTACAGAGCCACTTATATACTGATAAGTAACAAATTTTTAGTTACAATCATTTATAGCACGAAATTAAAATTAGATTAAACGAGAAATAAAACAAAAGTTTCTAGTAAGGTACAAAAAGTGATCTTATCGCTAATGCAATCTTTTCCAGACACAAAAATATTTACTACCTATTTGTATTGTTATAGCACAAAGAAGTGTGAAACTGAAGTGGCAATGGACAGGGCACTTAGGTCGTAGGACAGATGGAATTAGATTAGTTTGTTGAAGCAGTAAAGTCCTCGAATGGCAACCGCGGACCAGAAGTCGCACCGTGGGAAGGCCTCCAGCAAGGTAGACTGTATCTGGTTACGTAAGTATGTAAGACGTTGGATGCGAGCAGCGCAGGACCGATCATTATGGAGAACTTTGAGGAAGGCCTTTGTTCAGCAGCAGACGTCTTCCTGGCTGAAATGATAATGATTAAGTATTGTTATTTACAACATGAAAATTATATCTCAATAATGTTTCATTCATATAAAGTTTCGCAGCCTGCATTATTAAACAATAATCATGAAAGTCTATTAAATATTGAACAGCTTTGGCAGATTATGGACAGTGATATCCTTCGTGGATAGTAATAAATTATATATTCATTTAAATAATATAAATTCAAAACAACAGACAGTCTGAAATCAAATCATTATAAAAGTAACATAATACGATTATTCTTTCAGTTTCTTAACATAAAAAAAAACAATAATTTTCCTGGAAGTGAGTCACTCTCGCAAAATCAGGTAATGAAATGAAAAGATATTTTGTTTTTACTTTTATTTTATTTTGCGTTAACTTTTATTTATGTTCGTTCACGCAAGTTTCTGAGTAACGTCAGATTCCTTTGTTGTTTCACTAAAACAATTTCCCCTGCGGCGGTACATTATAGATTAGGTTGTTTTAATGATTATGGATATAAAACGCCTCTGGTATTAGAATTTTGTATTACTTTACCTTTGTAGGTCACGGCTTGGTATTACATCATTGTTAAATTACCACAGATTAATAACACTTTTATTTATTTGCATAAAATAGATTACATTATTCATTTATATTGTTCATAGGATAATCCATATTTAGCTACATTTCGAGCATTCTCGTTAACTTCAATATTGATATTAAGATAGATTGGTCCTTTCTTATAAATACTGAAATTTATAAATGTAACAATAATAATATACTTCTAGTTCTGAATATAAAATATAATTTTTAAAATTAACAATTGCCTAAAATAAACACACACATAAAAATTGTGCTCAGATACAACCCATTACGACTAAAGTACTTTATCACTTGTGGATTGACTGAATGGGAAACAATTATTGACAATACAAAAGTATTACAAATAATTTGTGAATAATTTGTGTGTTTTTGAAAAATATGTACGTTTCTTGAAGCAATAAAAAAATATAGTATTTTGTTCTCAGGGATAAAACTACATATACATAGCACCAAAATTAGAGATAATGTTAGAGCAATTATAGTGGGGATAAATGGGCTAGGACTGTGAAATCGGCCACTGAGAAAAATAGTCATGATTTCGCTACACACGTAACGAACTAGCTAGCTATACAGAGTGTGTCTAACTGCTCCGATATTGGACCCGAATTTAGCGTTGTGTGTAGACTGTATAAGATTTCTAGTGAATAAAAGATATGTAGAATATAACATTTTATTTCTTAGAAGTAGCGATCCTTATTTTTACAAAGCTTATGTTCTGTATTGTACATTATGTAGTTCAAGCGAATAAGTACAGAATTCTACAAAATTATTTTATAATAATAATAATCTCGGGACAATTCACTCAGCGCCATCTAGATCCAAGATATGCTAGCTAAAGTTTGTGTTATGAGTACTAGATAACTGATACATATACATAGATTTTTTTTTAAATACATACATATTATACATAGAAAACTACCAGACCGATACAAACAATCATACTCTTGAATACAAATGTGTGCCGTGCGAGGTATCGAACCCGCAACCATCGGTCGTAAAGCTGTGTACTAGACTGCTAGACCATCAAGGTCGTAGATCGTCGTCGATTATGAATAGAAAATAGTTGTTAGCCTAGTAAAAATTGAAATCTGTATGAATTACAATATACATATTGTAGGTTAATTACCTACAAAATATGTATTCAGGTGGATTCATAGCATATTAATTTGTAGTCGTTAAAGAACTATATGTATAGAATATTCAAGTACCAATTAAAAAAAATGTTGACATGTATTTTTATACATGTCAACGTTTTTTATGATTATTAGATAGTTCTTTAACGACAAATTAATATAATTATGAAAAAAATAACTATTAATAACTAATTCATTTATGTAATTCAAAATAAGTTTTCATCTAAATAATTCTAAATTTGCGTGAAAGTAACCATGATTCTATTCAATTAAAGAATTTAGATAAAAAAATAATATTTATAAGTTATTATTAAATTTGTACACTTCACATATGCAGATTTTGTTAGCGCCATATTTTCAGTAGTAACTATTATTAATATTAATTACTGTTCGAGCGCTATCGAACATGAGTTATTGACAGCCGCTAGGCCGGGACACCTTTCACTTTGCCTTGCGCCTACGACGTCACCGCACGCGTACCTTATTAATTAGCTAATGTTCCTTGTAATATTATAACTCCTCGTATTAAATATAATAACCTACAGTCCACTTCTTATTTTATTTACGAGTCAACAACAAACTGGTCCATCAGACTGGCCTTAAGTAACCCGCAAGATTATACCAATACCATTGGAATTTCGTTGGAGTTTGAACTTGGGCATTGCAATAAGTGCTACGAGAATACGACGTGTCATCGCTTCTACGGCGCATCGAAGTCGCATTATATAAGGAGAAGAATATATCAATAATTATTCCCGAGGCCTTCAAAAGACAGTGGTGTAGAAATTCAAGACAACATTACAAATTGATGCATCCTGCCTTCACTTCGAGAAACTTCTATACATATACTGAGGATAATTCTTGTGGATAAGGACAACATCTAGTGAGTCTGTTCCAATTATTTCCTTTCTATATAATCTCCGCATACTTTCGTGCAATTGGTGCTTATTTTTCAATTATTCTTTTTTTTCCTTCTTTCACTACTTCAAAATAAGTCAATAGTCGCCAATACCTATATACATATTTAATATTTAAACGCATCTTGCTTACTTTTATATTATACACATTCGATTGTATTAAGCGTGCGTATAGATAAAATCTCGCATCAATATTCGTAGGTACATTTGGCTAACGATTGCATTATTGCACCGCATGGACTTTGCACTACGCTGCAGCTGACCGTAACTTCACTCGCGGTCAAGGTCGTGCTTATCTATTCAATAGAAATTATTTCTTTTGCTCGTGTTACTACGCAATTATTATAATTGAATAGCATCTTTACATATTTTATATACATAAATAACTTTTCTTTTTCATTTCTATATTTATTTTTCGATATTAATTTATAATCTTTTCGTTATATTAAGTTAAAACTTATTTAGCAATGGCAAATAACGAAGATTTATTATGTAGAAAACGCAGTGCTATGAAAGCTAAATTAACTAATTTTAGTAATTTTATTACTGTACTTCTCAACTGTGAATCTATTTCGGACCTCCAACGCATTGAGTTGGAAGGCCGTCTAAGTAAATTCGATGCATTGTTTGGTGAATTCGATGAATTACAGTTGGAGATCGAAGTACTTGCGGATAACCCAGAGGGAGCGTATGCAGAGCGAACCAAGTTCGAGGAACGGTATCACTCATTGGCTGCGCAGGCGCGTTTACTACTTGGCACTGGCAATGCTGCCTGCGCCGGTGGTGACGGCGGGTCTGTAGCGGGCTCCTCGAATAAAAACACAGGTCAATCGTTCCAAAATGGCTTTATACGCATGCCGACCATCAATTTACCTCATTATGACGGTAGTTATAATTACTGGCTAGAGTATAGAGAGACATATTTATCGCTTATCCATAATAGTAGCGCGATAGATGACATTAGTAAATTCCACTACCTTCGTGCGTCATTAAAAGGAAGCGCAAAAGAAATAATTAAGAATATTGATTTCAAAGGAGACAATTATCAAATGGCGTGGAGTTTACTATGTGATCGGTATGATAACAGTAGACTTTTAGTGCATAACCACGTGCAGGCACTGTTCAATGTTGATAAGCTGCAAAAAGAATCACATTTGTCGTTACGTTCACTCATAGATAGCATTAATAAAAATATTAGAGCGTTAAAAACATTGAACGAGCCCACGGATTCTTGGGATACGCTTATAGTGTATATGATGTCATGCAAATTAGATCCCATCACTAGTAGGAACTGGGAGGAGTATCGCAATACATTGGATACTGCACCCACTTTATCACAATTTTGTAAATTCATTAGCAACAAAGCAGATTTATTAGAAACATTAGAAAACAATAATCAAAATCATAAAATAATACATAAATTAGATAATAAACAAAAAAGCTTCATAGTTGCCACTAATAATTATAACAATCATAACAATAATCATAACTCAAACCAAATTTCTTACAATAAAACCCCATTAAAATGCCCCCTTTGTTTTAAACACCATCTATTATATACATGTGAATCTTTCAGAAATCTATCTATAGAATCACGAGTTTGTAAAGCAAAGGAACTCAATGTGTGTATGAATTGTTTACGCACAGGTCATATCACATCAAGATGTAGATTATCACGCTGCAAATATTGCAAAGGAAAGCATAATACTCTCTTGCATGTAGATGACCAGACCATGTCTACGTCTATTAATAATTCTATGCCTAGTAGTAGTAGTAGTGTCGCCCTTCCTATTGACATTGCCGGTATTTCTTCTACTAATTGTCCAACAGGCAATGTCGCTTTATCTTGTGACACTATCATACAGAATACTACTTCTTCTATTTTACTGTCCACAGCTATGGTGAAGGTTGTGAGCGATGACGGTGAGAAGTTCGACGCCAGGATCCTACTCGATAATGGTAGCACAGCCAATTTTATTACGCAGACGCTTAGTAACAAGCTGAGATTGCCTCGGCGGAACATTAACTCCACAATAACAGGTATAAATAGCCAAACATCAAATAGTACACAATCTTGTAATCTTACTATTATATCACGAGATGACAATTTTAAAATTAATATTGACTGCTATATTCTGCCTGAAATTACAAAACTGTTACCTCCAGCTTCAATTGACATTCGCAACATTCCTATACCTTCAAATTTACAGTTAGCCGACCCTTCTTTCTATTGTCCGTCAGCTATTGACATATTAGTTGGTGCTGAAGTATTTTGGGCGGTTCTCGGTAGTGCATCTATTAAACTCGGTAAAAACCAACCTACATTATATGCATCTAAATTCGGTTGGATAGTTACCGGTCCTGTGATTGTTTCATCAAAGTCTTTCTCAACAAAACAATCGCATTATTGTAATCTACAAACTAATGAATTAAACTTAAATTTAAATAAATTCTGGGAGTTGGATTCGGTTCCTTTAAAAAAATATAGTTTATCTCCAGAAGAACGAGCCTGTGAGGAAAGCTTTCGTACTAATACCACTCGAAACAAAGACGGTCGTTTTATGGTTACTTATCCATTGAAAGACAACTGTAACACGTTAGGTAATTCTTATGAAATGGCTAAACGTCGATTTCTTTCCTTAGAACGTCGTTTTCAACGTGATCCTAACTATAAAGAGAAATACGTTCAGTTTATGGCAGAGTACGAGCGCCTGGGACATATGACTGAGATTACTTCACCATTGAAACCGCATTCTAGTAGCGACATTGAGTATTTTTTGCCGCATCATGGTGTGGTTAGGGAATCCAGTACTACAACTAAGCTCCGGGTAGTCTTCGATGCCTCTGCTGCTTCCACATCTGGAATATCATTCAATGATATTCAGATGGTGGGGCCTACTGTCCAGGATGATCTGTTCTCCATTTTACTACGTTTCCGTCAACACAAATATGTAATATCTGGCGACGTAGAAAAAATGTATAGAGCAATTGACATCACTCCCTCCCGCCGTACTTTACAACAGATAATTTTTAGATCGAATCCCAATGAACCCTTAAAAACATACAGACTTAATACCCTAACTTATGGCACAGCTTCTGCCCCTTACTTAGCCACGAAATGTCTGGTTAGTTTATCGCCAGAATCAAGTAATGAAACCGTAAAGACTTCTATTGAACGTGACTTCTATGTCGACGATTATCTAAGCGGTGGTAATTCAATTTCTGAGGTGGTCAAAATGAGTAAGGAAGTAATTTCTATTTTATCTTCTGCAAATTTTCATCTACGAAAATGGCAGTCTAATTCATTACAAATCTTAACTGAAATTTCAGGTATTACAGAGGCTTCAAACAGTCTAGATTTTTTTGAAAAGAGTACTATTTCATGTAAAATGCTAGGTTTGCGTTGGTTATGCGATTCAGATACGTTAGTACTTTCTATCTATATAGATACAAACAAACAAATTACAAAACGCAATATCTTGTCAATTATTAGTCAGATTTTTGATCCGTTAGGTCTAGTCAGTCCGTGTATAGTAGAAGCCAAAATAATTATGCAAAAGCTATGGCTTAGTAAATATGATTGGGATGACATTATATCTGACGAGTTAAAAGATCTCTGGCTTTCTTTAATAACTACCCTTCCCTGTCTAAATAACTTAAAAATACCTAGATGGGTATTATGTGACAATTATGTATGTAACGAAATACATGTTTTTACAGACGCGTCTGAGGCGGCATATGGTGCATGCATTTATATTCGTTCTACAGATAATAAAGGATTAGTTAAAGTCCAACTTCTAGTGTCAAAAAGTCGAGTGGCACCGGTTAAGGGGGTCTTCCTATGTGATGGGTTGAAAAAATCGTTTTTTTTTTTTTATAAATTGCTCCTTAACATGTCTAGAATACGGTAGTAAAGCGATTTTAGAAAATTCGAAGTCGTTTTAAAGATACAGCAGGTAAAAGAAAGAGCGGTTCGGAGCGGTGAGTTGGCAGTTAGAGACCGGGCCTATTGTGTACCGTCGGCTTTATACCTGGCCTCCCTTTTATTAATATATTTGTTTATACAAGTTTAGACACGTTTCTACAGACTTAAACAGAAATTTCTATTGTTATAATATTTTACCGAAGTTATTTTAGTCTTGGTTGAACTTCGAAGAGAGCAACAGCTACAAATTATTTTTTTTCATAATGAGTGGACGGAAAGGAAGCGAGTGGAAATGTTCATCCTGGTCGTAGTAAAAAAAGAAACAGTTGGTGTAAATGGCGTAAGGCTGAAGCTAATAATGAACTGGACCAATCATCACGATAAACCACCTCTAATTCCGCAAGTCCAAAAAGCTATCAAACCGGTTTTCGAAGATTTATCGAAAGACGAATTATTAATTCGTTGTTTAGGAGCAGAGACACAAAACAATAACGAATCTTTGAATTCTTTGATTTGGACTTTCGCTCCTAAACATCTTCATTCTGGTCCCAAAGTTGTTGAAATTGCTAGCTACTTAGCAGTTATTATCTTTAATGAAGGTTTTCAAGGTATTTTAAAAGTTATGTCGATTATGGGATGCCCTGTTGGTCGTGAAGCCCAAGCGTATGTTGAGAAACGGGATGAAAAGCGAATCTTACGCTCTGAGCGGCGCGTAAGTGATGTCGTTAAACAAGCCAGGATTGACTCAAGAGCTGAACAATCTGCTTTAAAAGAGTTTCACGAGGAAGAGGAAGGAATACTCTATGGACCAGGCATCGCCGATTGAGAGTAAGTTGATATTTTAATAGTTTTTAACGGACTTGAAACTTTAAACGCGTTTTTCTCAAAACTGTGTTTTTCAAACTTTCCTCCATTGTATCTCAGAAACGGCTGGACCGAATTACTTGAAATTTACAGGGCACACTCAATATATGTAAACGCATGGAATGAACTATTATCAATCGAAAATTTTCAAAACTTCGATTTTTTAATAGCAAAAAACAAAAAAAAAAAAACGCCTAATTTGCAACTTTTATTTCAAATGTCTATCAAAAATCCAATTTTTTTTATATTCATTTTATTATAGGTCATTCCGTGCTTTTAAGCCTACAAATTAAAACGCCGTTTTTTTTTTTTTTCAGATAAGCCGATCAGCCGGAATCGTGGAGGAAGTGGGAGCTCTTTTTTTCGAGGCGGGGGTGTTCAGAGCGCTGTAACTCTAGTTTGACTGAATATTTTTAGCTGAAATTTTATATTTATACTGTCCAAATATGTGTTAATAAATGATAAAAAACTTGAAGCTCTAAATATTTACTGGTCGTAGAAAAAAAAATCCTAAAATATCCCTAAAAAACAGGCCGTCACATAGGAAGACCCCTTAAGCCCACTACAATACCACGTCTTGAGCTCTGTGGCGCCCTCTTAGGAACAAGATTGTGTTCTAAAGTGATGAGTTCTCTTACTTTACCTATTAGTCATTGTCGGTTCTGGTGCGATTCGACAATAGTGTTGAGTTGGTTATCTATGGCAGCTAATACATTAAAACCCTTTGTACGCAATCGTGTACATGAAATACAGGAAAGTACAGCAGGGCATACGTGGTATGTTCCGTCCACGGATAATCCGGCGGATTTTGTTTCTCGCGGGCTGAAGGCTGACCTAATCAGCAACTGTTCTTTATGGTGGTCAGGGCCGGAGGTTTTTATTGTTAAATAAAAATGATTGGCCAAAAATACCCAATCAAACTGTGAAACAAGATCCACCTGATGTAGTGTCATCGCATCGCTTTTCATCACTCGACCTTACATCAAATCCTCATTCACATGTATTAATAAAATCACAATATAATAATCAGTCATTATTTAAAACACTAATTCATAAATTTTCAAATTTTCATCGTTTGCATAGAGTAGTTGCTTATATACTAAGATTTGCTAACAATTTAAAAAGTAAAAACAATAAGTTGCATGGTTTTCTTACTAGTAAAGAACTTACTGATTCATTACAGCTTATTACAATCCATGCCCAAAAGGATATGTTTCCAATAGAACTTAGTTTACTTTCATCAAAAAAATCATTACCACGTAAAAATAGACTTGCATCTCTAAGTCTATTCGTAGATAATAATGGTATTATTCGCGTAGGCGGCAGACTAGACAATTCTCCCTACGACTATAATATAAAACATCCCATATTATTGTGTGCAAAACATCATTTCACTAAATTAATATTTATTAAATACCATAAAGAATTGTTACATGCTGGTCCCCAGCTTCTTTTAGCTAATATTCGACATACATATTGGCCTCTAGGAGGCAGAAATCTTTCTAAATTAGTAGTCAGGAATTGCATAAAATGCTTCAAAAATAAATGTTTAATAATACAACCTATTATGGGACAGTTACCGACATTAAGAACAAAATTAGAGTTTCCATTTTTACATTGCAGTGTCGACTATGCTGGGCCAGTGTTTATAGCTGACCGGAAAGGGCGAGGTTGCAAGCTTATAAAGTCATACCTGTGTATTTTTGTGTGTCTTGCAGTCAAAGCCGTGCACATCGAGCTCGTTACAGACCTATCTAAAGCAGGGTATATGTCTGCTTTAAACCGTTTTGTGGCTCGTCGAGGTAAACCTCAAAGTATCTTGTCTGACAACGGTACTAACTTTGTCGGCGCCTGCAACGAACTACAAACGTTTTTACAGAAATCTGATATTTCATACGAGGTCACCCAACAAGGTATTGAGTTTGCATTCGCTCCTCCCTATTCACCACACTTCAATGGTATCGCTGAGGCAGCAGTCCGTTCCACCAAACATCATTTAAGGCGATTACTGCAAGTAGCTCATTTTACGTATGAGGAGATGGCAACATGTTTGATTCAAATTGAGGCAGTTTTAAACTCACGTCCATTAACCCCTATTTCCTGTGATCCTTTAGATTTAACAGCCCTAACTCCTTCACATTTTTTAATTGGACGACCACTAATGTCGGTTCCACATCCACAAGTAATTGACATCAAAATTGAGCGTCTGGAACGCTATCACAGGGTGCAGCACATCAAACAACATTTCTGGCAAAGATTTCACCTCGAGTATATTTCTCTACTCCAACAGAAAACCAAGTGGACGTCTTCAACTGGCCATCTGTCTGCTGGAACACTCGTCCTAGTAAAGGATAGAGGACAACCGCCGCTACTGTGGCTCCTGGGGCGCGTCACTAAAGTTTTCCCTGGCATCGACGGGGCCGCACGCGTGGCCGAACTGAAGACCAAGAAGGGAACAATTTTGAGGGCTTTCAACAACCTCTGCCCTCTTCCTGTTTCTTGAATACTTCAACCCGAGGAGGATGTTCGAGCGCTATCGAACATGAGCTATTGACATCCTCTAGGCCGGGACACCTTTCACTTTGCCTTGCGCCTACGACGTCACCGCACGCGTACCTTATTAATTAGATAATGTTCCTTGTAATATTATAACTCCTCGTATTAAATATAATAACTTACAGTCCACTACTTATTTTATTTACGAGTCATCAACAATATCTATATTAATAATTCCGTCAAGGGGTACGGTAGGCTCGAACGAAACCTTATGTGAATAACAAAACATAAAAAAATATTGATTTCGAGTCTACCGTACCCCTTGATGGAATTATTAAGGGGGTCTTCCTATGTGACGGCCTGTTTTTTAGGGATATTTTAGGATTTTTTTTCTACGACCAGTAAATATTTAGAGCTTCAAGTTTTTTATCATTTATTAACACATATTTGGACAGTATAAATATAAAATTTCAGCTAAAAATATTCAGTCAAACTAGAGTTACAGCGCTCTGAACACCCCCGCCTCGAAAAAAAGAGCTCCCACTTCCTCCACGATTCCGGCTGATCGGCTTATCTGAAAAAAAAAAAAAAACGGCGTTTTAATTTGTAGGCTTAAAAGCACGGAATGACCTATAATAAAATGAATATAAAAAAAATTGGATTTTTGATAGACATTTGAAATAAAAGTTGCAAATTAGGCGTTTTTTTTTTTTTTGTTTTTTGCTATAAAAAATCGAAGTTTTGAAAATTTTCGATTGATAATAGTTCATTCCATGCGTTTACATATATTGAGTGTGCCCTGTAAATTTCAAGTAATTCGGTCCAGCCGTTTCTGAGATACAATGGAGGAAAGTTTGAAAAACACAGTTTTGAGAAAAACGCGTTTAAAGTTTCAAGTCCGTTAAAAACTATTAAAATATCAACTTACTCTCAATCGGCGATGCCTGGTCCATAGAGTATTCCTTCCTCTTCCTCGTGAAACTCTTTTAAAGCAGATTGTTCAGCTCTTGAGTCAATCCTGGCTTGTTTAACGACATCACTTACGCGCCGCTCAGAGCGTAAGATTCGCTTTTCATCCCGTTTCTCAACATACGCTTGGGCTTCACGACCAACAGGGCATCCCATAATCGACATAACTTTTAAAATACCTTGAAAACCTTCATTAAAGATAATAACTGCTAAGTAGCTAGCAATTTCAACAACTTTGGGACCAGAATGAAGATGTTTAGGAGCGAAAGTCCAAATCAAAGAATTCAAAGATTCGTTATTGTTTTGTGTCTCTGCTCCTAAACAACGAATTAATAATTCGTCTTTCGATAAATCTTCGAAAACCGGTTTGATAGCTTTTTGGACTTGCGGAATTAGAGGTGGTTTATCGTGATGAAATTGGTCCAGTTCATTATTAGCTTCAGCCTTACGCCATTTACACCAACTGTTTCTTTTTTTACTACGACCAGGATGAACATTTCCACTCGTACTTCCTTTCCGTCCACTCATTATGAAAAAAAATAATTTGTAGCTGTTGCTCTCTTCGAAGTTCAACCAAGACTAAAATAACTTCGGTAAAATATTATAACAATAGAAATTTCTGTTTAAGTCTGTAGAAACGTGTCTAAACTTGTATAAACAAATATATTAATAAAAGGGAGGCCAGGTATAAAGCCGACGGTACACAATAGGCCCGGTCTCTAACTGCCAACTCACCGCTCCGAACCGCTCTTTCTTTTACCTGCTGTATCTTTAAAACGACTTCGAATTTTCTAAAATCGCTTTACTACCGTATTCTAGACATGTTAAGGGAGCAATTTATTAAAAAAAAAAAAAAACGATTTTTTCAACCCATCACATAGGAAGACCCCCTTAAATACTAATAACACTGATAAACAAACTGCAGTCGCTATCTTTTCATGTCACTAGCTAACAACCAATCAACACATCGCATGTGTGTAAAACCACAGATAACATAATGTAAAACGAAAGCTCTTGCCGGAAACATGACGTTGTCGTTTCGCGAAAATATTGTTTTTGACACTTTTTTATGATAAAATCGTGTATCGTATATCGTGTGTATGTGTTCTTTCTTTAAACCTGAAATTGTCCGATTGCGAGACAAATTTGGCAATTTTGTTTTATTAATTTGTTTTACGGCTTTTACAATATAAATTACAAAAATTAAAGTCAATGTCAAATGTCAAATAATAATAAATGTCAAATGTTGTTTCTTTGTTCTGACGAACTTATTAAAAAAAAAAACTTAATAACAATCACAATTTCTTCACATTTTATTATTACACATAAGTTGCCAGGTATTTGCATTTTTTAAATAATGTTGTGGTGTGGCACTATCAGAAATTAAATTATTTACCCATTTTTGTAGGTTATACAGAAATAATGTGTGGGTGTTTATTTAAAATTAATAAAGTAGGTATAGGTATTAATAAATATATGGTTGTTGTATCAAAATAGAATTTTCTTATTTTTCACTAAAATAAAGACTAACTGCCTTTTTTATAAAACAAATGACCTTTTCATTGTATCATATATTATGAAAGTATTTAAATTATTTAGCTGATTGTAAGAAAAAAATTTTGGTTTGTAGATTAATACTGTAAAATTACTATTTGTACGGAAACGACAAAAACATATTTTTATGCTGCGATAAAAATAAATTATAAAATTCTGTTATGGAAACGTCATATTAAGCTTTAAAACTAATTTGTTAAAATAAAAGTTTCCGATTAAACAAATCGGTATCGCAGGTACACCACTACTCCACTGTAGATGGTAACATTATTTCAAAATTTGACATTTCAACCTGTCAATTTAGTCTCCGGGATTAAAAAACAAACTATTATAACCAAGTATGGCACTTATAAACTAATTCCTAAACTACTTGGTGTCCCTGTCGCCCCGCGCCCCGCATGTTTATGGGGGCTCGACCCCAGAGTGGGGGCATAGCAAATGGCTAACGCGGGGCGAGAGGGAAAGTTGAAAGGAAGAGGAAATGGATAGGAAGAAGGGAAAAAGGACGGTGGTGGACCAAGTCGTCGTACTGAAAGAGCGACAGAACTAGGAACTTAACAAGTCCCTGAGAGTCACGCGGACTAAATAAATAAAAGAATGAAAAAATAACTCCTATCCCCAAGTATGGCACAACGTGTAGTAAGCTTTAAGTAGTATTTCTTTATTTCTTTTTTTTAAGTAAACTTGCCCAAGTTTGCCACCCGGGGGTTGTTGTCCCCGGAGTAGATGCCGGGACAAAGGGGTCCCCGAGGCCCCAACCTTCACCTCCCTAGAGGGGTACGGAAGACCATACACACTATAACCATAACCAGAAAAGTAGAAGTTTTAGTTCAAATGTCATTATCCTTTAGTTTTGCATAGTGAATTACTTTATTTGGATTACACACATTATGCCGAAAATCGTAAGTATTTCATAAAATATTTCATTGCCTTTGTTTGGTCTTTTGTTTGATGATACCTGTATCATTTTGTTAACATGTGAATCTCCTTGCATGTGGTAAACATTGTCACAATTGTGGAAAGTGGGTGCAGCGAAGGACTTTCCGTAAAGATGGTGAGTAGTATTTTAGTAGGTCTGTATGTAGGCAGATTGTGTTTTTAAGTGAATTTTGTTCTATGTTTTTTTAAAGTGAATAAAATAAGTACTTATTTACTTCCAGTTGACGATCAAGAACGGGAAAGATGTTCGAATAAAGCAATTCGTTTTAAATATCTGCCAAAGTAGAGAGTGTTTAAAACAAAGAGGTTTACAGAAAATAAACCTTAAAAGTTATATGTTTTGTTAATTTATTTTGAATGTTGATTTAAAATAAAAATTATTTGTATAAATACTTTCGCACTTATTATTTACTATAGTATTTATTAAACACAATGAACGAAGCTTTACGAATTTATGCCTTGCTTACCTTTAATATTCTTTGAGGACCGATGACTACAGAAATATCTACTCGAGCGAAGCCGGGTTTTCATCTAGTGTTTTTATAATTGCGGTATAATTATTATTTTATATATTATATTATTATGTTACAATATTATATTATTTATGTTTTAAATGCAAAATTATAATTCAGTGTATTGTACAGCGGTTTCATTAACATACTTTTAAAATAATAGCGGGAATGTGATTTTTGGTGTGTTGCTTGGCAGGGTGTTCAGAGGGTTGTTGGCAACACGGTGTCTGGCTGAGGACGGATTCGCATTTAGTAGACACAGTTGCGCTGCGACGTGGCGGAGGGCACACCTCGCAGCACAAATGTAGCTCTAGAGAATAGCACAGTACAGCGGTGTACGGCCGCGTACATGCGCGTACAGCCGCGTACGGCCGCGTACAGCGGCAGCAGCGCTCACAGCTTCAAGCTGGCCAGCCGCGTGTCATCAACACATTCCGTTATCATTTTAAATATATGGTGTATTTAATCAATTTGAATATATTTAATTATGCCCTTGACTCAGGAACATATTCTAAAGACTAATTTCCTTTAGGCGGACAAAAAATTCTAAAATGTTTAAGATACATTATGGTTGAGAAGTAGCAAACATGTAAAAAAAATATAAAAATAAGGTTTATTTTTATATTTAATTATTTTTATGCATTATAACTTTAAGTATATTAGTATACTATTTCAGTTCTTGTTTAAGAAATTTATGTTAGCGGGTAACTTGGTCAGTCTCATGCTCACTAGATGGCGCCATAGGAAAATTTTGATGGCTCTACTTATGTTACGGCGGGCGATATTTGCCTTTTAAAAAATATATTTTATTTAATTAAAACAAATGAAATTATTAAAGTATAAAGTGTATAATTATGTCTAATGATCGAACAAGACTACTGTAAAAATATAACAATTAATAATTGGTGTTAGGTGCCGATTCGTGGTAATTTGCTGTTCCTGGTAGCGGTGTCAGCTTATTGTGCCACACACAGCAATTTACCAGGCGTTACGCCATGGTAACTCCTCCCTCCTTTAGATAGAACCGCGTCTC